TTGCGTACCTTAGTTCGATTTGGGGGTTTAGTGTAGACCAAGCCTAAGACTATAATACTGTATGTGAAAGGTCTGAGTTCCATAGCAGAAAAATACAGCATATGAATGCCTTAAAAGGTGGACTAAATCCTGTGCAGACTTACACCCTGTGCAAATCCACTGGCTTCTATGACATAGTTCAAATCCGTGCAAAATTTGGCCTTAAGTCTATACACTGAGATAACATAAGGCATAGACGAAAATCATTTGAAACTGAATGGAATTCCCCAGCCAGTCAAGATTTCAGAGATGACATGACTGAGGCCTGGCCTACACTATAGAGTTAGGTCGACGCAAGGCAGCTAGGTCCGTCAACCTAACTCTGTAAGTGTCTACCCTAAAATGTAGCTCCCACTGATGTAACTCGCCCACTACACCAACTTAAGAACTCCCCGTCCGTGAGAGGCGTAGCGCTTAGGTTGATGTAGCTAGGTCGATGCAATGTCACTGTAGACTAGAGACTGCGTTCCTTACATTGATTGTTGCTGCCTTTCAGAAGCTGTCCCACAATGCCCCACACTGGCAGTTAAATCAGTGCAGGTGCTCCTGGTGAGGGCGCACACCGCCAACACAACGAGTTTAGTGTGGATACGCAAAAGCGATTTAATTACTGTGGTGATTGTACGTTGATGTAATTTAGGTCAATTTAATTTTGTAGTTTACACTTGTCCTGAATGTTTTAAACCCTCCTGGGCCAAATTCACCCCTGCTTTAGTTTTATTAACATCAAGGGTCTCACACTTCAATGCATTTAGCCTTCTATTTTAATGTCAAAATCCCAAAACTAATTTTGACTGAAGGTGTTCACTCCATAGCGGAGTAATAAGACTGAGACATTACCATCAATGCTATAAGCATTATTTGAATAAGATTGCTTGATTTTTATATTTCTTCACTTAGCAAATGGTGTTTTTTTAAAAATCCTAATAGAATACATTTAAATAATCCCTGATTTTAAATATATATTGAACAACACCAGGGATAATAAAGTCTGACCTTCTCCAAGACTGTGTGAGTTTACTGGAATAACAGAATGTAGCTCAAATCCTGGTTGCCTCACTCATGCAATGAGTCCACTTGACTGCTTGTCATTGGCACTACTTGTGTGAATAACAAAAGCAGGATCTGGCCTTCTAAGTGCTAAAGAACTCTAGGCCAAAGTCTTATCAGCTACCGCACACTCAATCTGAAACGAGTCCACTAAAGTCAGTTCACAGGTTTATAGCAGTGTACCAGAGGTAAGAACCTGGTCCGCCAAGTTTACACCTATCTTAACTGAAGCTGCATTTTACTGAGAACAGGCATGCCAATGAATTCATATGAGCTTACACTATACAATACTTACAGTGTTCATGGCACCTTGCTAAGAGTTCTAGGTCATCTATGTGGTAATAATCATAGCCAGAAGTACCCAGCACTTCAAAGGGCAAGTATCCTATAATAGGCGGCGCTCTGCATATGGGCACAGTACAAATTATTTCATCAAAACAATGAAACACACAGCAACTTTTCCTCTATTAAATAGGAAATTCAGAAAGTCAGTCTCACTTACACATGCGTAACTCCCACTGAAATCAATGGGCCAAATCCTGACTTCTCTGCTCTATGGGCAGGGAGCCCAGCTGTAACTCAGCTCCCTGTCTGGGTTCCACACCTGCAGAGTGGCACGGGCATCCTGCGAGAGGAAGTCCCACTGGAGAGCAACCATGGCACTGATCTATAGTAATTCCTTCCCCCTCAAGGCACTGCCTGTGATTTCAGTCCCCATCCAACTGCCTTACATGGCAGTGGTGTCACCAAGGAATGGTGACAGGAGTAACGTGGTGTCACCCTGATGTCCCTGTTGTGGGGAGGCAGAGTCTCCTTGGCTGAGTTAGACTCGGAGAGACAGCAAAGGAGCTGAGCAATATCTCTCCCCACCCAGTGCCAGAGCTAGCTAGCAGCTCTTGAACAAAGTTGCCAGCCAGCTAGAGAGGTCATAGACCCGTAAGACAGAGATCTCCCTTGCAGGAAAAAGGTAACAGGGAACTGAGCCCCCAAGGAATGCCCAATATCCTCTCAAGAACCTGCTTTGAGGAGCACCCCCCCATTCTCAGGCCTTTCCCTGTTTCTCCCCTGGGGCAAGTGACTTCATTAGAACCACAACTTTTCTAGGCAACAGCAGCTTTTATGGCTCCCACATGGCGAAGAGTACCCAATGAGACCAGAGGAATAGACAGGGAGATAACACGCATAAGTTTCTTTTCATTGTGGGCCTCTGCAGGACCTGAACATGGAGCGTCTGAGCAGCCATTTCACACCTCTAATCTTGCCAGCCCGACTGCCCCAAGATGGGTCAAACCAGCACAAAGCTGCCCTCTGTGATCCTCAAGAACTGGCCCAATGGGAATTGCACACATGGCTGAATTTGGAAAGTAATATTTTCATGGCACATTTTTCTACAATGCACAGGTTACACACACACAAAATCCTCCTCCTGCCTTTTTGGATTTATTACCTCTGATTTCTGGATTAACCAATTAGCTGTATACTAGTTGGAAATTGTTGTTCTTAGACTCATAGCCTACTGCCATTTTAATACAGATAAGGACTGGCTAATCAAAATACTCTCAGGAAAAAAAAAACATTTTTAATACACAATAGTTGTGTAATAAAGATTGATGAAAAAATAAATACAGACAAAATCAGCCAGCTTCAGAATCAGTGAAATCAAACATCAGCTTTTGTAGCAATTTTAGTCATAACAGTGCTGATAACCAGGCTCTTCAAATTATTTTGATGTGAAGCATAATATTATTTGACAGAATCTAGCTAATGAAAATAGCAGTAAATAGATACAAACAAAACCAAGTATGTTTTTCTGCTCACAAACCTGTGATCCAGAAATAAAAATTTCCATTCCAGACTATGTCTTGAAGTGAATTCCTCTAAAGGTTCTTCAACTATGCACATTTCCTGCATTGGGAAGAAGATCTGTTTACTAAGATTGTTAACTTTATCTCTCAGCTTCATCTGTTTCTTGTTAAATAGGAATACACAGCAGGTATGAGGAATATAATCAAATAGAAAGTACAGATGTCAACCAGTAATATTGAATAGAAATCTAATGTTAATACAAACTGATACTAACATTATTGCATAGGGTAAGAAAAGAATACTCTACAATACATGCCAAGTTAATAATCATTATTATTTCTTACAGTATATAGGATATTATGTTTTTAAAGCACTCTACAGATAGCGAGAGCACAACTGCTGCATTGTAAGAGCCCACATTAGAGGATAGTGCACAACCCAGGCAGGAACTCTGCCTGTCTACCCTGCAATTAGAGACCCACAGCTGGCCCATGCCAGCTGACTTGGGCTGAGGGGCTTGGGCTAAAGGGCTGTTTAATTGTAGTGCAGACATTCAGGCTCGGGCTGTAGCCCAAGCTCTGGGACCCTCCCACCTTGCATCCGAACATCTACACTGCAATTAAACAGTCCCATAGCCTGATCCCCATGAGCCTGAGTCAGTTGGCATGGGCCAGCCGCAAGTGCCTAACTGCAGTGCAGACACACCCTAAGAAGCATTGTGCTTTTAGCAGTCACGTTGCCTCCAGGAGCCCTTAGCTGCTGTTGCACCCTTGAACCTGTGCTCTCTCCTCCTGTACAAATTCAACACCACTGGCCTATGTGAGAAGGGGCAGCACACCTCTGTGGATCAATCTGAGGTATGCATGTGGCCTCCTATATTACCACTGTACCTGAGCACTATGCAATCCTTTAATACATTCATCCTCACAGCATCCCTGTGGGATAGGGGAATACTATTATGCCTATTTTTCAGCTAAGGAACTGAAGGAAAAGAGAGAGTATATGACAGGAAGTCTGTGGCAGAACAGGGAACTGAATCTGGGTATCCTAAGTCCCATGCCCACATGCTAACCACTGGAGCATGCTACCTGGAAGCATAGTCCTTGGGTATCCTGAGTGCAAGGACTGAAACTCTGCCCAGCCTTTGTACAGGGGCATAAAGAGGTAGGTTCCTTTCACCTTGTTCTCACGTCCCACTCCTACATGCATTCATACCAGAGCCAGGAACAACCTGGCCCTAATTAAGCCTCCCAACGCCTACAGGAGCAAGTGATATTAATAATTAGTAAACATATTATGGTAGGTAGGACTGGGGCCTCTTTGTGAAAAAATAAAATCCCTGCTCCAGAGCGATGATGGCAATAATAATATACTAGAGGGTTGCACACTTTGTTGCATCTCTAGGCAGACCTCACTGCACATACTAGGGCTTCCTTGCATTCTTCCATTCAACCCCACAAGTTCTCTGTGTTCACCCTCTCATCTCCTTCCTTGCAATCCACACCCCCATGCCTGGGAGGGGATGTCTCCCATGTCTGTGTGCTCCCATTCTTCTCCTTTGTGCCCACCCCCATTGATCAGATGTGGCACTTAAAGGTTATCATGTTACAGACAAACAGAGAGAGAGAGCAGAGTGCTAGACATCGCTTTGCTCAGACAATCAGAAAGATCAGTATTTTAGAGTGGGAAATTGAGACACAGATGTTAAATGACTTGTCCCAGGTCATAGCAAGTAAATTGAGGAGCCAAGATTTGTTTCAGCAGTTCTTGGCTCCCCGAGCCGTTTCCAGGTCACTTACAACACACAGTCACTTATTATCATTGGCAGTTTATGTTAATGCAACATTAACGTTGAGTTTTAACTACACAAAGGAAAGGAAATTCAGAGTACTATTAGTAAGAATACTACTATTGCAGTTTATGAGAAGTATTCTTGCTTTTCCAGAGGAGACTGTACAGTCAGGGCTGTGAATCAGTCAAGAATGCCTTTAAAAATCCCAGTGCAGTATTGGCGTGAGGTTGAGCGACCAATGCTGTCAAATGAGATTTGTCTCAATTAGATTTCTTAAACTCAGAGGATAGGACAGCCGATACAGCAGCTTACATTTGCCAACTAAGAACAGCAGTGGCTGGTGCTAGGCTGAATGCAGTGTCCCGTCCTCAAAAAGTGAATTTCCTAGTGTCATGATGGGAGAAGAGTGGGAAGGGTCATTTTAATGCACCTGTCTAGCCAACTGAGGGCATGGTGTCAGCATCTCTACTCTGCTGCTCCATCCCAGTGTTGGGAAAATACAGCTAAGGAATGCCACACTAGGCATCCAAGTGGCATCCCCTGATTGCATTTCCCAGTATAAAGAAATAGATATATCACCATTTCCAACACCATTTCCATCAACCCTGCAACAGACCAATAACCCTACTCATTGTATATAGTGTATACTCACTGGAGTACTGTGTCCAGTTTTGGGCCCCAAACTACAAGAAGGATGTGAAAAATTGGAGAGAGTCCAGTGGAGGGCAACAAAAATGATTAGGGGGCTGGAGCACATGACTTTTGAGGAGAGGCTGAGAGAACTGGGATTGTTTAGTCTGCAGAAGAGAAGAATGAGGAGGGATTTGATAGCTCCTTTCAACTACCTGAAAGGGGGTTCCAAAGAGGATGGATCTAGACTGTTCTCAGTGGTACCAGATGACAGAACAAGGAGTAATGGTCTCAAGTTGCAGTGGGGAATCTTTAGGTTGGATATTAGGAAATACTATTTTACTAGGAGGGTGGTGAAACACTGGAATGGGTTACCTAGGGAGGTGGTTGAATCTCCATCCTTAGAGGTTTTTAAGGTCAGGTTTGACAAAGCCCCGGCTGGGATGATTTAGTTGGTGTTGGTCCTGCTTTGAGCGGGGGTTGGACTAGATGACCTCTTGAGGTCCCTTCCAACCCTGATATTCTATGATTCTATATTGGATTTTGATTCATGATTGTGAAGTCTCTATATTCTGATCAACTCTGTTAGTAAAATTTGGAATTTTGCATGTACAGAGATTGAAAGAATATACAGTACCTCTAAGACTAATGCACTCCATTACATGCACTTACCTTTAAAAACTGAGGTGTTGCCAGTCGAACAGTAGCAACAAAACAGACTTGTTTTCCTAGTGATGTTCTATAAGCCTGTGGAACAGCACCATCAAAGCAGTTACAAGTGGAATTAGGCACTGGGAAGGGAAAAAGCAAGATTAGCAGGTTTGACCTGACTGAATATTTTACAGATTTGAAAGCACTAATAAGAAATCTTACTCAGAGGAGTGTCTCAAAACCTTTTAAAGCTTATATGCATATATTTGAATCGAAGTCAGTCATGTTAGGCAAAAAGACATGAGAGCTTAACTCAAAGTAAGAAGTGTGTTTATAAAAAGTAAGGACAAACCTTCTGGTGGTATCTACAACAGCTTTCTGGAAAGAAAACCTACACATCCAGTTGCTCCTTTTCACCGTTCACAATAACAATATACATTTTAGCGATCTTACTGCATTACTTGTAGGCAGCAGATGAAAGAAGTGTTGTTAGAGGTTGAAGGGTGTTATTAAGTCACTGGTGGCAAAACATTTGGACCAATATCACTGAGGCTTTCATGGAGTTAGTAGGCATGTTTCTTCAGACACTAAAATGTATAACCCCAATTGTAGCCCCCCATCCACCCTAACCTTCTCTCTCATCCCTGCCCATCCTCCCCAATCCTTCCCTGCATCCATGAGGAACCTTCAGCCCCCCTCACTCCCCAACTCCTCCTCAGTCCACCCACACCCTCTCTCTCAGCCATAGGCCCCCCGACATCCCCTTTGATCCATCCCAGCCAGCCTCCCCAGCCCTGGGCCCTCTCCAGCCGCACCATCTACCCTAACCCCCTTGTCCTTACCAATCCCCCCACTCCCAGCCTGGATCAGTGGGGACCCTCAGTCCCCACTTCCTCCTCAATCTCTCCCCAGTCCACCCACACCCTCTCCCTGAGCCCTTGGCCCCCAGCATTCCCTTCAATCCATCCCAACCTGCCCCCCATCACTGGGCCCTCTCCAGCCTCCCTGTCCACCCTAATCCTCTCGCTCATCCTTCCCAATCCTTCCCAGTCCCTTCCTCCCAATAGCACTGAGGTTTGAAAATTATAATTATTTTAAGCAAAAGAAAAGCAGGATCTAGCAGGCTTTAGCATGTAGTTCTAGTCTTCAGAGTAGGGCATCTTTTGAGAGTCCCTGCCCCATTCTCTCTTGGCACAGTAGACTGGGAGAGGGGCTGAAAAGGGTTATAGCCACAATTTTTTATGGTGGCCTGCTAACTGTGTCTTTAATGATTCCACTGGTCTCATGTCATGTTCAGGGTCCATTGGTACCTGCATGCCCCTCAGGCCCTCATTTCTCAGCAATGGCTTGCAAAGTCGTCAAGTTGCCTCTAGCTAGCCTGTGATCCCAATGTATGTTAGTGTCACAGAGGATGAACTCCTGCTCTTCAGAGCACGTGTAGTAAAGAAAATTACACCCCAAGTTATGCTGCTTGGAGATCACAATCCTGCTACCTCTGAAGTCAATACGACAGACTTCAAATGGGACCTGGAACAGTCCTGGGAGAACCTGCATGGTGAGGAGCTATTCCCTGACTCCTGCACTCTTCAGCTGACCAAGCTCCTTGACACATAGAGTTCAATCTGCATAGCAATTGCAGGTGGGGGGATGCTACCATAGAGCTTTCTCTCCTCTATCTGTGGCCTGGACTCTATTTTCTCAAGTTTCTCACAATCTGGCTGTAGCAAGGAGGAGTGGCCTCCCTTGGAGATTGACAGGGAGGGATGGCTGCACACACCCCTGATGGGCGGAAGCAGAAAGGCCATGCCCACCCCGCCAGAAGAAGAGGGGCGGAACAGGAACAGGAAATACTAAAGGCGGGTCCTGCAGGGAGACAGATGCTTCCAACCTGCTGCTAGAGCAGGAGCCTGCAGAAGATCTCTGCTGTCCCCAGGACTCACCAGGGTTGCCAGACATGCCTCATGTTGAGGAGCTGCTTGAACTGCCACTGGTGGTATATCCTGGGGAGGCAGAGGGTGACCCCAGGACCTAGGTACACCCTGAGGGAATGGTAGAAAATAGCCCAGGGACAACTTACTCTAGTCTGGCTGTGTTGCTGCCTGAATCCAGGCCACTGTGTTGTGGGTGGATTCCCTGTTGACCCAGTGGTGGAACAATCTGCCACTCTTAGGATCCTGGGCTGGTTCCTGGTGGAGTTGGGTGGACCTGTGTCCCCCTAACCTCTTGCCACCTCACCCCTGGGGTGGAGCCTCCCCACCTTAGGCCAATGTTAGTCTACTGTCTTCCAGAGCTAGGACACTAGACCCTGTATTGTCCTGCCCTGCCTGAGGGCTGAAGCCTTAGACTTTTGGTGCCTGGCCCTGCTGAAGGGCCTGGGCTCCTGGACTATAAACTACTCTGTCCTGCCTGAGGGCCCCTTATGCTGTTTGCATGCGGTGCCCTGCTTGAGGGCTTGAGCCCTGATGACAGATAACTGGTAGGCCCAGGCCAGAGGGCCTGAGCTCTAGAGACAGCTAATTTCTCCCCTTTTACAGATTACCATTCTAAATGTGTGATGGGGAGGAGATGTGGCCTCCCTTGGAGATTGACAGGGAGGGATGGCCACGCCCTCCTACACTGGCTCCTTTCTGTACTACACAACAGAGGCAAATGTGCCCTTTGGTGAAGAAAGGCTGCCTTTCAGCCAATTTGTATATTAGTCTATATGGGTAGTTCACTAGCAGTTTTTATGTTGGGTATCTGCTGTACTGGCTTTTTATAATGGACTTCTCTTCACTGGCTTATGTATTAAGCCAACTTATTACACATGCTTTTTGAATCCAATGCAAGCTATGGTAAAGTCACAATATACCAATACATAGCTGATAACATGAATAACAGTGAGAAACAGAAAAAAAAAGTAGTCTGTAGAGAATTCACATCTGTGATTAATCAGATCAGACCATTGTGGATTCGTTTATGTACTGAGCCAAAAAGTACAAAGGAGAAGAAAAATGCCACATTTAAGAAAGTGGTGCAGATGTCAGCATCTGTATAATTTAAAAAAATCTCTAGACATGAAACATCCTCTACCTGAGCCTTAAGGGCATAATTGACTGTATTATTAACATAAAAATTAAGGGAAATATTCTCCTTCCATAAGTAAGGCGTGTATTTGCTGTTCCTCTTAGGACTTCCTAAGAATTTGTATTCCAATTCTGCTGCTGCATTTGTATGCTTATATGAGGGCTTCTGTGGGACTTATATAAAAGAGGTGGGAGAAAATGGAAAAGGAGTATGAACTGCAGGAAAATAGGAGGAACCTGCATAAGCAGCAATTTGCATTGTTCTACATGGGCTTTATCATGCCACTGAGTATTTTGCAGTACTTTGAATCTCAGAAGGGAGTTCTGTTTAAAAATCAATGGCATGATACACACTCATATTAAGGGCACTGTAAAAAGTTACTTCCAGGCATACTTCTCAACACCATGAGCAGTCACATGTGAAGTCAACAGGACCATTCCCAATAGTAACCCTTAATTCTAATAGTTAAATGTATGCAGGATGGATCCTAAGAGGCCGAAAGGGCCTAAGCAAAGTCTCCTAAATGCAGGTGTGATAAATTAAAAAACTGGTAAGTGAGCCTATTAACTTTGCTCAGTGGGGAAGACACAACAGAAAAGCTTTTGGGCTGAGAAATACTGCTGGTATTTCCACTGGAGCATTTTAGGTTATTTGGTATGAACAAGCTTAAATCAGATATATTTCTGTGTTTGTACAAAAAGGCAAAACACAGTCCTAAATTTTGCATTTACAAAATAGAATAGTGCATTATATTCCCAAAAGGAAAATGTAATCCAGAAAGGATAAGAATTGCTATGCAGTAAATGTATCTGTCAAATTTGGGATTTTGCTATTGACAGAGCAGAGCTACTGTTGACAAGAGTTTAAAAAATCAGGAGCAGGAATATTAGGGGCATAGATGTTACAAAAAATTTTTAAAAAAGAATACAAGCCCTAAAATCCATGGATACAAATATTTCTACCTTTGGGGACAAAGATCACTGCATGTGAAATGAATGGAATATATTTATGAAACAATGGCTCCATTATCTAGTTGAGAATGACACAGCATCCAACTGGTCTACCCACACTTTTTATTTTAATTTAGAATGTTTCAGACCATTTGTTTCTTATACAACTGCAACCCTCTAATATATGCTGTTTACATTTTGAGTGTGTGTGTTATTTATTCTTTATTGCTTACCTTAACACAGATGATAAACATAACAGAAACAGCAAAGAGAAGAAAAGAATCTAACCTGGAGTAGAGAGTCAATTATTGGGATTTTACAACAAAATAAGTCCAAACATCTTCATTATTAAGGGCAAAGAGTAATAAAACAAAGACAATCTTTGACTGGTTAAAGACATTTGTAACAATGGTCATGTTGTTGTTGAGCCCCAGTTTGGGGTTCCTTGTAAAGTAAAATCATAAAAACAACTAGGAGTCTTGTGGCACCTTAAAGACTAACAGATTTATTTGGGCATAAGCTTTCGTGAGTAAAAACCTCACTTCTTCGGATAGTGAGGTTTTTACT